TTCATTTGTACAGCCAATACAACTGACACTATACCAGGACCACTCATTGACAGAATGGAAATAATACAAGTAAAGGAACTACTGATACATTAATATATACATGTTTTTATGTTGTGTAGAAAGTTTGAGTCAATTCCAATCAAGATTGGATTTAAAAAAATTTTAAAGTTGCTCAAAAATTGGACAAAAGTCCAACGACCCTGTACTATAGTACAGGGTCGTTGGCCAAATTTTGCCAAAAATAAAAAGGAAAGAAATCTCCATTTTTATGACATTTCCTGATACATATACATGTATAGTACCTATGTTGTGTAAAAAGTTTGAGCTGATTCCAATCAAAATTGAATTTTTTACGAATTTTTTAAGTTGCTTAAAAATCGGACAAAAGTCCCTGTACTATAGTACAGGGTCGTTGGCCAAATTTCGTCAAAAATGACAAGGTGAGAATTCTCCATTTTAATTACATTTCCTGATACATATACATGTACTTATGTTGCGTAGAAAGTTTGAGCTGATTTTGATCAAAATTGGATTTTTAACAAATTTTTTAAGTTGCTCAAAAATTGGACAAAAGTCCCTGTACTGTACAGGGATTTTGGTCAAATTTTGTCAAAAATGAAAAGTTGAAAATTCTCCATTTTTATTACATTTCCTGATGCATATACATATTCTTATGTTGCATAGCAAGTTTAAGCTGATTCCAATTGAAATTGGATGTTTTACATTAAAGTTTATTGAAACACCATAGACTATTATATCATTCTTAATCTCACTCTTAGGTCTCTGGTTATATATCAGAAGAGAAGGAAGCCATTGCTCAGAATTACCTCATACCTCAAGCTCGTTCTTCCTCTGGTTTGGAGGATGGGCAGGTCCTCATAGAAACTGATGCTCTCCAGTCCCTCATCAAGTGGTACTGTAGGGAGAGTGGAGTGAGGAACCTACAGAAACACATTGAGAAGGTCTAGACTCCAAACATTACACACACACACACACACACACACACACACAAGTCATAATAATACTCATAAATGCGTTACATACACATGTACATGTATTGTCCTTTGCTTGTTGAGCTGTTTTATCATTTGTATACACGTACTTGTAATATTACTGTATTCCTTCATTGTAATCTCAATCTCCTTCATTTGGCAGATATTACGTAAAGCTGCTTTTAAAGTTGTGTCACAGACACAGACTAATGATGATGAAGCTGAAGCTGAAGAAGATGAAAAGAAACAAAAGAAGAAGAGAAACCTTCTCCCCCTCCTGTCACTGATCCTGTCACAGTCTCTTCCTCTAATTTAAAAGATTTCGTTGGTCATCCTCGATAATGGGTCTGGCTTGGACGTCAATGGGAGGTACTACTCTTTATGTGGAGACA